GTGTGTGTGTGTGTGTGCTTGTGTGTGTGTGTGTGTGTGTGTGAGAGTGCTTGTGTGTGTGTGCTTGTGAGTGTGTGAAAGTGTGAGCGTGCGTGTGTGTGAGTGTGTGCGTGCGTGCTTGTGTGTGTGAGTGTGTGTTTGTGTGTGCGAGCGTGTGTTTATGTTTGTGTGTGCGTTTATGTTTGTGTGTGCGTGTGCGAGTGTGTGTGTGCGAGTGAGTGTGAGCTTGTGTGTGTGTGTGCTTGTGTGTGTGAGTGAGAGAATGTGAGTGTGTGTGTGCGTGTGTGTGAGAGTGTGTGTGCGTGTGTGTGAGTGTGAGTGTGTGCTTGTGTGTGTGTGTGTGTGTGAGAGAGAGTGTGTGTGTGCTTGTGTGCTCACAGGTTCGTATCATATCTTCTCCACTGTTGTGATTTCCGGGCTCTTTGTATTTTGGAGTGAACTGCTGCGAGAGAGTAAAACTCACACACTCCATCACCATCTTTGGATCTGAAAAACACAAACAACACAATATGAATGCACAAGAACGCTCTAATCAAAAATGTGAATAAAATCATGAGACAGCGATCAAAATAATCATTCCGATGAACAGCAACCTCGTGCTGATGGTGTAAATGAACACATTTACCGGGTTCTCTGTACCAGTGCGCGTCAGTGGGCGTCTGGATGCATCTCCACCACAGTCCGAGCGTCCCGTTCATGCGGAACAGCGCGTCGCTCACGGTTTTCTCGTCAAAGTCTCCTTCCAGAAACTCGTCCTGCAGCGCGCGCAGCTCCGTGGCGTTGGGCTCCGCGCGCACCGGCGGGCTCGTGTACCGGTACCAGTGCGGCGAGCCGACCGACACCGACAGATACACGGAGGCCAGGACGCTTAAAACCCCGGCGATGACCAGAGCTGTGGCGTGCCGGTTATCCACCATCATTCCCCGCTCTTTACGCGTCTCTCGATAAGCACAAGCGCGTTCGTCTCGTTGTATTTGCGTGTCCTATTTTCCGCCCATCTGTCTCACGCCATCTGTCTCATCTGAGAATAAAACTCAATGAAGAATCGCTCACAGTCCAGAGTCTTAGTTTCAATATCAACGTGGTAATCAGAGTTAATGCGTTCATATGCTAAAGGTGAACATACATGTGACGGTTAGGAGCAGCAGAGATGTTGATAAATCCATGCGATTTCCTGTAAGATTTAGAGCCGGCAGCAAGGGTTCATGGGTAATGTAGTTTACTACAAAAACCGCTGAAGTAAATAATAATTACACACACACACAAACACACGCAATGCTAGGTTTAGTAGACGACTAGATTAGGAAACAATCTGAGAGCAGATTTAGAGCCTGCAGCAAAGGTTTATGGGTAATGTAGTTTACGTCAATATATATATATATATATATATATACACACACATATATATAAGTGGTGTGCGGTGGTGTTCTGAAACGAGTAGGCAAAGTCCTTTTTTAAATATCAAATGTAAATTCCTGTCCCAGTCGCATGTTCTTGGTTAAATAAACATTATTTACACTACCAGAAAACAGCAACAACAAAAAAACAATTATATTTTATATTTTTACATTAACAATGTAATTTTCGACAATATATTTTATCTGTGAACTTATGTTCAGCTATTCTTTTTAATAGTGAACTTTTAACTATTTTTGAATTATTCGGTTCATCAGTGATCAAAGCTCAGTAAATATTGGTCAAGTTTCCACTGTCGGGCCAAAAGCGGTATACTCTCCAAAATGGCGCTAGGGTGACGCGGAGGAGACGAATTGTTGAATAAAGTCGTTTTTTTTTCTCTTGTGCACAAAAAGTATTCTCATAGCTTCGTAATATTACGGTTGAACCCCTGATATCACATGGATTATTTTACCGATCCCCTTGCTACGTTTCTGGACGTTGATCGTGGTAGTACCCTTGGTGTCTATGGGGGGGTCAGAGAGCTGTCAGATTCCATCATAAATATCTTAAAGGGGTCATATGATGCTCTTTTAAAGATCATTGTTTTGTGTCTTTGGTGTAACAGAATATGTTGACATGCTTTAATGTTCAATAAACATGTGTTGGTGGGGGGGTTGTGTTTGCGGAACGATGTATGTTATAATACATCGTG